TAAATGATAGTGCTCAATGAATAGATTTGCAAAACACAATTTCATACACTGGTACTTTGATTACAGGTAATGCAGCATGTCATCACAAACATGGTAAAACTCCTGACATCTATCACTGAAAGTTGTCTTGTATAGAACTAAGAAAATTTTCAATGTTGATTTGCTTGAGATCACATATTACATAAAAATGTGTCCTCTTTTTAATGTAGATTACTGATAGAGACCAGAATACAAAACACTGTCAGGTTGGGAAAAAAAAAAAAAGGAAAGAACAAAAAAAAATCTAGATATTAGGAAGAAGTTCTTTAATGTGAGGGTGGTGAGACAGTGGGACGGGTTTCACAGAGAAGTTGTGGATGTCTCATCCCTGAAAGTGCTCAAGGTCAGCTTGGATGGTCTTATGAAAAGTCTGCCCAGGGCAGGGGGCTTGGAACTGGGTGATCATTAAGGTCCCTTCCAACCAAAACCATTTCATGTTTCTGTGATTTATAGCTTTTCTATCAATGGAAGCATAGATTTACAATTAATGTGACTACTCAGGTAAACAGAAATTTATGAAATCTCTCCCTTGCCTTGTGGATTAAACACCAAGGCCAAAATTCTGAAGAAGGGGTGAATGTTTAGTGTGATTGACTACTTATTGCTAAGTGTTGAATTCTCACTAAATTTGACCAAAATCACATGCGAATTTTGAGGCTTACCCCTTGAAAGAATCATCAAATCATGGCATGCTGTCAGATGTGAAAATAAATTAGTGTATAGGGGAGGTTTCTTCAAATATAAAATGAGTACAAGTGCAAAACATCCCCTCAGTCATTCTGAGGTAAAATCCTTTCAATGCTCATTCAGATCTCAGCACCAGGTTTAAGCTGCAGCCTTGCCATGCTGTAAATCTTCTGTTCCTCCACCATGTTCCACGGTGGTCCTGCTGCAGCAGCAATATTATCAGCAGCAGTATAATTTCTTCTTTCTTTAAATAATTTGCTAAATGCTTCTGTAATACTCATAGAATGAACACTGACCACAGTTTCTGCTTAAGAATCCAGTTGGACTAGACACTGAAGGTACTCATTTAATGACTGTCCACAGGGATGAGTTTGATTCTTATTTTACACAACTTTAGTTGTCTCTAGTTCTAGTAATTATCTAAAGCACAAAGCAATGGAGGATATTTTTCCACATGTGCATAGCTACATACCATAGATACATTCACATATGGTAATACACCAGTAGAGTGGTTATGCAAAGTTTTTTCTCCATTACCTTAGGCTAAGTCATGTAGCCAGGACAGTATCAGAAAGATTTAAATGTAACCTTTAGAAATATTTTTGTTTGGTTAGTGGGATTTATATGGAATGGATGCTCTGCAAACTAGTTTTTGTTAAAATAAAGTGTGATACTTGCAGATTGATTCTGTTTGCACAAGTGTAGAACAAAAGCCTTTCTTTGAGGGGTTAATCAGGAAAAAGTACTTATTATAGCAGCCACAAAACTTCAAGCAATTTTTGTTTCAAATGGGTTATTATCCCACCACCCAAAACCCAGCAACTATGTATTCCCTGTAGCACTCAGTATTTTCTCTAAGCAGTCTCTCAGAGGACTTTCTTACCAGTTTTCCAGAGCTGTCTTGTAAGGGCATGGATTGTAAACACAGGGCTCTAACTGCTGTACAACAGTGCCTCTATTTTCTCTTTCTCTTTCATTCTTGTGGCCAGAACATTTCATTGCTGAGAAATGCTCAGAGCTACTGTACTAACTTGTGAAGTTTTGCTGGTTTTACCTTGTATTTCAAAACAGTCTTGCTTCCCAACAATACCAATATAATTTAAAATCATTCTCATAGATTTTGTGGATCAATTTTCTTTAGCTTGCCTGCAAGCAACACCTTGTGAATGGAATAGGGAACTATGAATGCAAAATGAATTTGGATACTGAGCAGAAAATGATAATTATTTTTGGCATGGTTTTCATAAATTATGTTCATACTGCTTTTGTGATACGTGAAACACAGAAGCTTCCAAGATTAAGAAAAAGCATTTCTTAAATTCAATGAAATATCCCCACTGTGCCTCCCTCTTTCTCACTCCACTGAAGAATTCCCTCTTTTCAGGAAGTCCGTCACATTTCTTGTCAGTCATTTTTTAATACAGTACTGGAGCTTAAATTTATCAAAATATTAAAATGATAGCAGGTTTAACATTTTTATACATTTTACTGAAGTTTAGTACTTAATATTATGAATGCCTCCTTCTGTCTGGTCTGCTTTGAAAGTTTGTGAAGGATGGTTGTACTACCATTTAATGACATTTTTCCATGAGAGAAATACATTTTTCCTGGAAAGTGTCGTAGAGTCACATTTTAAGAGAAGAAATTGCAAAACTGAGTAAGTGCATAAATCAGAGAAAATATTTATTTACAGACATGTAAAAATTATGTTACAACATTTTAAAGAAAACTGTAATGAACCATCAATCTGCTCTAATGGGCAAACTCTGAATGTTTAAAATCTAAATTGCAGTGGCACCAATTAAAAATAGGACTGCTAACAAGATTATAGTTATCTACATAGTTTAAGTAGAGTGATTTTTCAGAACTAAAAATGGATCTACAGAGAAAACTAATAGGAACTGCAACAATATGTAGTACAAGGGTTTACAAAAGTAAAAATATTTTTTCTTGATCCAAACTTTAAAGCTTTTTAGTAAACATTTTCCATTCATGCAGCTGCCCATGTTTGAAACAAATATCTGAAATACACAGAGCATATATATCTGTGTAGAAAATGAACTGGTTTGATTCAGGACTGTCTGTAAAGGATTTTATGACTGTTGGCTGTCCAAACTGTCACTCTGTCCATTGACAAGATCTTTTATGTTTCCTATTCCTCTGTATTGCAAGGGATGAGCAATGTCGAAAAATCCCACAACTGACAAAACTTATGTCAAACAAGTAACAGGTGATGGCAAACAACACCAAGCATACTGCAAACATGGACAGCAGAGAACAAGCAAGCTCTGTCGAAGCTACCAGCATCCTCTGGAGTGATTTTAAGCAAACATGCCATTGAGAAACCTTACTAGTAATAGGCTGCATGGGGTAACAATCTTCTGGCTTGCAAATGAAATAGCGCCTCATGGTGTCATCAGAGATGACTTTTGTGTTCAAAATATATTCAGGACCTAAGCTGTGGTGTGAAACAGTGTCAACATTATGATTGTGCAATCATTTGTGTGAGTTTATGCTGTAAGGTTAATGACTGTAAAGAATGTGTAAAAATCTCAGAGTGCTTTCTGGGAGTGTTAGCTCATTTGGAATGGAAGTGGTGAAGAGACAATATACCTAGATGTTTCTCATATCTAGTTTATTAACACCAATATCAGAACTGATCTCCTTGGATGATTTTCTGCATCTTTTAAGTCAGCCAACAGTTTATGTGATTTAAATGCCCCTTGAGCTGCCGAAGTTTGGAGTTCCTTATTTTTTAGCTGTCAGCTGGAGACAGAAATCCCAAAATGGCAATTCTGTTTGCATTTTTACAGTTAAAAATGTTCATAACCTATATTAAGAGATAGAAAATGGAGAAGTATTTCACCCTCTGATTTGATCTAACATTTCACTTGCAAGGAGTAATATTTTTTTCCTGCACTTTTCTTGGAGAGTCAGCCCTGATAAACTCTGAAGCTGCAGTTCTTTATGCTCAGGTGTAGCTACTTATACTAGTCTTTCCTTATTTAAGGAGCTGGGTACTACTCAGCACTTATGTAAACCATGTAACTCCACATACAATAGACAAGCTAAATATAAGGTACACAAATGTAACTGAGAGTGCAATGTCACATAGCTACCTAGTGAAAAAAATTCTTACTCAGTAATAGGCAATTAAAATGCATACTTTGCTTCCAAATTTTTGAAAAATATCAGTCCTTCTTTGTTGATGATCCCCATGCCAGAAACTTGACCAGAGACCTTGAGCTCCCACCAGCTTACACCCACACTACTTGAGGTTAACCTGTCATCTCAGAAACTGCTTTTTAAAACAGAAATTTAAAGTTAGATCTTTTTAAAAGTCTCTGTGGTACCTTTTGTTTTCTCTTGTTTTCAGCCTACAGAGAATGTTTGAAAGGGCAAGGCAAGAGTTCATTTTTGTAGTGCTGGATGATCTGAAGTACTAAGTACCCCAGTCATGGAGCTCAGTGATCAGGGCTTAATGCTGCAGACTGGGTCTGTGCTCCATTTGACTGTGTAAGATACTTCCTAAATTAATGTCTCTCCCTCTTGGGAGGTTGTAGATAATAAATAATTTATTGACCCTGCAATCACTTTAAAGACATGTCTCTTTCTATATGAGTACCATTCACATAAAGATGTGGATGAATAAATATGTATTCCTTGTTTCATGTCATCTGCAATGTTAAAGAGGTCTGACTTTGGGATAGTGAACAAGTTGGTACTTTTCTAGGGGAAGAAGTCCTTGTGCCTGTATGCTTTTTTTTACCTTTAATGTCTCAGTAACACAAGAGAAATAATGCATCCATTCTGTTTAAAAGGAAATATGATTTATTATAAAATTCTATACTGAGATTCCCCCCACATCTGTAATAATTAATTATTCCAACTTCAGGCTTTTAGGAGGGCCTTAAGAGTTTGTGGGTGGAAAGACTACTGCCAGAAAAGAACCCAAAAAGTAATCAGTAGGCTAACTCAGGCTGTCAGATATTGGCAGGCTATAAGTAATTTTTCTGGCTAGACAGGAGGCTGACTGACTTTCCATATGGTAGCAACAAACTGCCTTTAAAGATTTGCAAGAACAGCTGTAACAACTGTCTGATGAATGGCATCACAGAGAGGGCTTATCTGAAGAAGAGGATTTACAGGAGGATGCAATTTACAGTTTATCAAGGATTGCTCTCTTATTTTGACATTTTCACTTTTTAGAAGCTATTCTATTACCAAATTTAATTATTTCCAATGACAAATAAATTGAATAAAATAATGGGAAATACCATACAATGCATTTAATTGTGGCACTGATAAAAATGGTCTTGTTTGAACTAAGCGGTAAACAAAGAAGTGCAATATCACCTGACTCTAAATATGGTAAAACAGTAAACGTGCTAATCATAAAAATAGCTTTTAGAAATATACATTTGTATACAGTGTTTTCCACACCTGTTAAATACGTCCTTCATATTATTATGATACAGTACATTGGCCTTTAAGACATCAAAATTAAAAAAATAATACCAATAATTAGCCAGAGAAAACCACATTTACAATCTAAACCATAAAAATCTGACAATTGTACAGCTTAGAACATATAAGAAATGGAGTTTCTAATATCTGAACAATAATGTCCATTTTAATAAGTAAATTGAGTTTCATACAAATTGAGTCAAAGTTGTTGTCAGCCAGTAAGAAACTGCAGTTCACAATTTTCTGTGGGGAAGTCAGAGTTTCTCTTCACAGCCTTCAGGGGGTTCACACATGACATTTCATCACTTGATCTGTAGAAACTGAGAATGAAATGTTGGCTTTAGTATGAAAGCATAGAATTTCTTCCAGGAGAACCTCAAAAAGAAACCAAGACAGCTGGAAAAGAGCCAAAGGGAAAAGAGCCAAGAGGACTATGACTTGACTTTTTTCACAAATCAAGCAAATATCAATGTCTATAATGCTTTCCCACCTTAAACCATCGAAGGTTAAAAGAAGAATAGTGCTCCTGCAGCAGTGGGCAGTCAGGACTGTGCAACAGTCTTGAGTTGACTGTACGGCCCAAAATAATAACAGTAAATCAAACTAGAGCTATTGAAGCTGAAGTATAGCTCCCCTCAATAATGCTACGCAAACAACTCCTGAATAATTTCTATTTTAGCAGCAGGAAATAGAATAATGTATCTTGGCAGCTTTGCAATGAAGTGCTTTATTTGCATAATAGCATTCAATCTAAATAAATTGCATGTAGAATTCTTTGCTTCAGTCCCATCATGCTATTTATATACCTTACTCCATTTCCATTGGCTGTGTGTTTCAGCAATCCCTACGGTTACCAGATTGATGGATTTTTCCTCAGTAGCTTCCCTTTTACTTTGCCCATTTTGCTACTGTTTTTGTGTACCTGCCAAAGGATATAACTAAATATCCTTTGGTATCTTTTGTTGCTTTATCAGTAACTTGTGAAAATGCAAAAGTCCAGTGTTAGCCACTTTAACTTTAAAGGTTTGTTCTTCCAGCAGAGGCTGGAGGCAGGTTGCATCTAAATATCTGAGTCCTGCTATGTGACCCATTAATGCTAGCAGCTCCAAGTAGGCATTGAGTGATGCTGCAGGAAAGCATAATGCACACCAGCTCCACCTACCCACAGGAAAACTGACAACACTTTCCTAATTGCATCTGTTTGGAAAACTGACAGTAGAGAATGTTAGCAGAAGTAGATGGTTTCTTTTTTTTGAAGTGAAATTTTCAACCCAAGTTTAAAAAAATGTTGACAGGAAAAATATTTAAATATTTTCAGCCAATCTTTTCTGCACTCTCTCTTTTTTTTTTTTTTTTTTTTTTTTTTGTGGGGGGTGGAGTCTATCTTGCTTTATAACTAAAAAAGGAAACAGCTGATGAAACCTGGTGCACTTCTGATCGAGGGCTAAAAAGCTTCCAGATGTTCTTTTCAGCCAATTTCCACCTCCTTCAATGAAAAAAAAATAGAAAGAAAAAAAAAATTCTGTTAAAATTTCTATTTACTGAAAACCATGTTTTCCAGAAACATCCAAGTCACTGCAGGACAGGGCTCCTGACCTTTGAAGAAGTCAGGCATCAGATTTCCCCTTCACTGCAAAGAGAGCACCAGATCTGTGGTTGTGGTCTTCACAGGTAACCAGGATTAGGGAGAAAAGCTCATGTGAGAGATCCCAGAATTTTCTTCTTTAAGTTAAATCATCCAGAAACTATTATTCTCTACTTGCACAGAGAAAAATCTTCATCTCTCATGTTTTAGGTCTGATTCCTAGAGAGACTAGCTATAATAAAAAAGACCTTTAAATTCTTCCCTTAAGTCTGAGAGAGGCTTAATGGTTTTTAACTAGCTATTCATCTTAGAAGGAGTAAAAAAAAAAAATAAATCCCACTGTACATCCTATTAGCTCCAAAGAGAGTTACTCTTTTCTCGTCTTTTTTTCAACTATGCTTTGCCATTCCCTTATGCTATTATAAGAAGCAACAATTATGAAAGCAATAAGAGGCAGATTTTCAAGTTATTTATCAAAGCTTTTTTCCCTTGCCATAAACCTTTCAGGCCTTTACCTGTCACAGCACTAAAGAGCTTCATTAGGTTACTATTGTGAAGCATTAATGTTGCTAACCATCTGGACCCAAGTCACCAATGCTGCTTTGCTGTTGGTTGGAAACAGTGACAAAAATTTAGCAACTCCACCAGTCGAAAATATTCCTGTGTTCTTCCTTCAGTACATGGATTTCTTATTTCCCTCTCACTAGAAATAATGGTAAAGTCTGAGAGGAAACATTAAAATCTAAAAGAGCCAAACTTTTATTTTCCCTGTAATGACAAGAATTCAGGGCTATGATTAATATAGAGCAATTCAATGCTAATTTCATCCCATTTCTTTCTTCTGAATAGTATGCCATTTATCATCTGCCTTTATGGCAGTGCTGATGATATTAAAAAACCCTTATGATGACTAGTGGGCTTTTTAAATTTTTTTTCATTTCTTTCCCTTTATATATAAAAACATCTCCTGACACAACAAGGATGAACTGAATTACATTTAAGCCAGTAATAAGGCTTTCATTTGATGCAGTTCTAACAGAAAACCACTTTAGAAAGTGTGATTTGAACATAATGCATTTTAAGAATTGAATAATTCAACTGAGCATATAGACTTGGCATCCGTAGACAATATCAAAGAAATTCTATATGCTGTCCTAATTGCTATCATAATCTCTGAAAGAAAGATGGAGAGAGTTTATGGAATATTTATTGGTTCATTTTCCATCTGAAATTATTTCTGCTGCTTTTTTCCCTATCTGAATTGCTTTTTGAGCATGAGGTATTGGAAACACTCTTCTTAGGCATAACACTGTATTTCAGTCTTCCAAAAATGCTATTGCCACTGTTGTTATAGTTCTAGTATAATCCTTCTGGCATTTTTGCCAAATTCAAATTCTACTAGATTAAATTAATTTTAACTATACACAGTGTATATAACATGGGAAAGCCAAAATTAAATAGTTTCCTTCTCATAGGGTTTATGGTCAGAGAATTCTGGGTAAATGTGCAGGAATAAATCTTACTGTATGAGAGGGTAAATTCAGCACATGTTTTTGGGAGGGAGCATTAGGAATGTGCTATGACTAAATGACACAAAAGATGTACATGATTAACATCTTATCTTGTTAAGAAAATGCTTAAAGAAAAGTGCCACAGAATATAGTTGTTACAGACTTCACCGTACGGTTTACCCCACAACAAGATATAAGAGCATCCAAAATACAGACAAATGAAAGACATTCATCTGAAAAAATGCATCTGTTTTTAAAAATTCCTTTCCTCTGAATGGATTTTACAATCAAATAATCTTAGAAACTCTCAGAAAATGCAGCTACGAAGAGGATGGATAGATGATGGTTCATATATACATGGGAACTTGAAACCCAAAGCCTCAAGTATCCTTCCTCTTACTCTTCTGTCTCTTTTTCTTTGCCAGAAAAACCCATTCTCAGGACTGGAATTCTCATTTTAATAACTGTAATGGAGGCATCTGAAGCTACTGCTGACCACTGCTTGGTAAAATTGCACATCTATCTTTTGCAGGCTCCTCTTGAGTAGGAGATGATGCTTGACAACTTTCTAGGTTTCTGCTGGTGTCTGACTATGCTTTCATAGAAGGTTATGTGACTGCCATACATCACTTTCTGCAAAACAACAGCAAGCTCCATTAAAATGCAGCAGGTACACTGTCCTTTCACTCCCAACGCTGGCCCTCATACTTGTGCTACCTCAAACTGCAATTGTAGCACAACTGCTTTCATTACATCTGATGTTCTTTTCTAATACTGTTATCTGTACAACTGAGAGTTCTGAATCCAAGTCTAGAGATGCTGCTCTTATGTCCTCGAGGATAGCATACTCTGTTTCATCTTTAATAATTTCTTTTCATTACGAAATGCACTTTCTGGACAGCCAAAGAGGTGAAAAATGGAATCTGCTGCAGAGCAGGCATTAAAAAAAAAAAGGCAGAACAAACACAAAAAATAGCCAAAACTTAGTTAGCCATTATTGATCTAGATATTTATGTAAAATGAGAAAAATCATAATGCAGTACAGAAAGTAGTAAAGCAAATTGCCATTCTGTTTATTAGCTATGTCTAACTCAAGGCAATATCCTCCTTTTCTCTTAAGCAGGCACTCAGACTGAATGCAAAACACTGTAATTTATATTTGTAAGGTACCATGGGGACATGCACATTTGTTGGCTTTTACACAGCATCCTTCATCATCAGTGGGAAGCCAAGAAGAACAAGCAGAGCTTACCAAGGAACACTGAATTTGTATTAGCTATCACGTTGACTTCACAGCTGTGTTCATTTGAGGTATACCTTGCACTTTGTCCCTTGATTTAAAGCAACAAATCTCTAACTCAGTAACAGTCATAGAGGTGGTTTAGTTTAATGCCCCCATATGAAATGTAAATGCTCAGTTCAGTATGTGTGAGCAGGGGAACATGAATGTGTATTACACTTTTGCTGCTTTCAGCTGGAACCCTTGCAAAACATGAAAAACAAAATGATGGCAGTAATGCAAGATTTTTTGTAATGAACTAGTGATAGAATATTCTCTGCATTTAATAAATAGAGTGATTGTACAGTTTGATAAATATTAATAAAAGATAAATAAAAGAATGACTTGCACCTTCTTTAAACCCTTCTTCAATTGATGAAACCTAATCATTATGTTTTTGACTCTGCCAATCACACTTTAATTGCTAAAAATATTACAGAATTGTTTTTCTGTTCAGTGAACAGCTTAATTGCTTTGAAGTGCTAGTATTTATGTGAGTACTTGTGAGAATGATTGTTTTAGTCATCAGTGAAAACAAACTTCTATCTTCCCTCTATTAAAATGCTCTGTTTCACTTGTTCGTCCAATAAAAATCAGCAGGAAGAATAAGATAGCCCTATCAGATACTGATTTCTCCCCTAGACCATCATATCTTTGCTTTCTAAGAGTCCAGGCAGAATTGTGACAAATGCTTTTGGTTGTAGTGGTGGAGACAGGATCCAATATTTGGAGAGTGCTAGTGAGGACACACTGCAGTTGAGATGATGGTGAGGTGTGAGACTGAAGGAATGACTTTGGGAATAGTGTCACCATGGTCATTTGAGAGCTTGAGTGGGGCCATGAAGGAAAGAAGTGGATCTTTCCACTTTATTTAGGCTGTGTGTTTTTCTCCTGTTAGACTGCTTTTGCAGCAAAATCTTCCTCTGCAAGGTCCTTTATAGCAGT